CGTTCTGTCAAAATGTCAAACACTGGTGGTGTTAAATAAAAGAGGCATTAAACATGAAATTTGTATAAAGCTGCAAAACTACCGCCTCGTCGAATATAGATTTGACAGCTGTGTTCTCGTCCAGCAGAATCAAGTAAGGTACTAAACCTTGTATGTGACTTTATAACATCTCTTTTAACATTTCATCCTCTATAAGTTTACATATTTTTTATCAATTGAAGTGTTCGTGAATAAGTGAGTGATGATTATGACGATGATTATTGTTATGACTCTGATGAATATTTAAACGAATGATTATGATGGTGACGATGAAAATGATAAAGACTATTGGGGTGGTGACGATGATAATGATAAAGATAATTGGGGTGGTAGTGGTTGTGGTGGTGGTGATGATGATGATGATGATAATGATGATGACGAACAAATAATGATGATGATTATAAAATAATAGGAATGATGATGATTGTGGTAATGATTAAGATGATGATGACAATAATGATTATTAATAATAGTCTTAGTATGGTGATGATGGGGATTATGATAAGGAATGAAAATTAAATTAATAGTGATGATGGTTTGGGGGATATTAATGTTAATTATGATGAGAATGTGTTGATGATGAGGAGGAGAGGAAGGAGAATGGTTACTGCAACTGAAAGATAAAGCTGACGATGATAAACGGGATTGAAATGAAGTTTTGAAAAGCGGTGATAACTAATGGTGATGATAAGGATGTTGATGATAATGATAAGTGTCATTATTGTTATCATAATTATTATAGGGATGATAAGATGATGAGGATTCGAAGAAGGTAGATTGAGATGGTGTTGATTATGTGCTGGTGATATGGAGAATGATGGTGATAATTGTTTATCATTGTTTGAATTGGTCTTTTGTCTTAATTCCTTCATGTATTATCAATTTTATCAATTTCTAGATGAATATGTTGTTGATAATGATGGCTTTTAGTTCAGAAAGTTATAAAAATGTGTTATTTTTAAGATAGTCAATGCTAATTCTTGCAATGGTCGTGCCAAAAAATTAATAAGTTTTAAGCGGTATTTTGTTTGTTTGTTTTTTTTTTTTTTTTTTTTTTGTTTTGTTTTTTAATTTTGCCATGGATAATGGCCACCATGACAAGGCATTTTACAAAATACCAATTTGCCAAGGCAATGTCCAATTTGCCATGACAAATGCAAAAGTAGAAAAAAAACACATTTACTTTTATACCTATTAAATAATGTAACAATTTTAGATAGTTTGCATTTGTTCAAGCGCAAAAATGAAACATCTGGTTAATTATATATGTCGCAGTACGTTAACAGCAACAATAATTTTGAGTGTGCATGTATCTACTTCTTCTTCCGTCTAAATATCAGTTCAAAACAAACATCGTTTGATATGTGAGCGAGGCAATCCCAATTCACAGTCAAATATTTTTCTACCTTTAATACGGGAAGATTTTTGACAAGTTTTTTTGAGATCCAAAGTTGAATGCCATCAATATACAAGTTGTTACCAAAATAATATCGGGATCTCTATCCTTTTTTCTTTCTTGTATTTTTTCTAAATCTAATGAAAATTTAGGCGTATACATGGAATTGTACGAGTCAACCAGTTCTTTAAATTTTGCTACTTAAAATTCTAGATCTTCATCATCAGAGTCATAGAAACCCTTCAAAGTATTCCAAGTTTTAATTGAATATACGGACATTGACGAAATTGTACACGTAAGGAAATGTTAATTTGTGATATTCAGTATGCATTTTTACCATCTTCGACAGATATATTCCTGAGAAAAAATCATTCAAGTAATTAAGTAGTTAAAGAAGACGAAATTTTCATTTGTCTTTCTTCAACTGAAGTTAACAAAAAACGATGCCAAATATGCAATTTATTTCAGGTGATGAAAAATGCAAGAAGTTGTTTAAGATAGTTTTTTTTTATAAAAATACAGATTACCCTCAACGTATGTGCCAAACTATACACACTATTTTCATTCACAGATTTTTTTTTCTTTATCATGATGTTGACAAAAACATGAACATTTTTACGACATAAGCAAAGCATATAGTTAATATATAAAATGTTGGTCCTATCTGCGAGGTTTCACTGTATGCTTACAGTTTTTGCTAAAACGAGTTAAGTTTATATCATGAACGGGAATATAAAACAAAAAAGTAAAATTAGAACGTAAAAATGAAGAAATGTTGCTACTGAAGATTCAAAGATAAATTTATAACGTCTCGGTATCTTCCGGTATCAGTACTCAAGATGCTTTATCGATGTTGTTTTATTCACGACAGGAATATTGCAGAGATGGTGACAGACAGGGTTTATTTCAACATGATGGTCATTATGGCCATTAGTTGTTTACCTGTATTGCAGTTTCATATCGCACAAGTGGTTGAAGAGTTTATGTTGTTTAAACTGCAACCTTGTCTGTCAATCTTTGGTCAGTAGAACAGAACATTTTTGTGTAATCTACGAGTACAAGAGGGCCATCCAAGCGATTTTTGGTGCAAATATATCAATATCCAACCAGTAATTCAAAAATACATTTAAAGGTTAAAATAATTTAAAACATATTGCACTCTGTATTTCTTATAATAATATGTTTTGTGCTCGGACAGCCTACCCAACTTTTATTAAAATCACATTTTTCTACTGTGGACTCTTTATGACCATGATAATCAGTAGAAATAATTTAACGTATTACCACCCTAATGGGCACTATAAGGAATTAAAAAAATGACATCATAGGTCAGATATATACCTTAAAGAACACCTGCATGCAAAATTTAAACAAAGTATACCTACGGAAATCAAGTTTGGCCACTTTTCTGATCTCAAGCTAGGATGTTATGAGGGCCCTTTTTTAGAAATGAGGAACCTTTAAATAATCTGCAATAACATTCTAATGAAAAATGTTTTCCCATAAATTTTTGGTTAGAAACAAAAAGTACCATTCAGCTAACAATATGGTTTCTACTTAAAATTTATGAAATCTGAATTAAAATTTTACCCTACCCCACCCATTTTTACCACGTGTCTGACCATTTTCCTACTTAGGGAGCCTAATTTAAAAGATCCTTAAAATTTACCCAAATGAGTGCCTGTTTTCAAAGTTTCCCTAAGTTTTTAAAGAAATAAATTATGAAATACCTTTACCGTCTAGTTTTGATTTTATTGCACTTTGAAAATATCAGGTACCATATTTATTACTAGATTTGGCATAATTTAGCCAATAAATACCTATATAAATTAAAAAATCAAAATTAAACACTTTTTTCTTTCCAAATGGGACATGAGAGATACATAAATAATGTTAAAAGAAAAAAAGAAAGAAAGAAAAGTTGACCCTTCTGGGGATTGAACCCACGGCCCTCATTTTCAATGTAGTTAACAGTAGTTCTAGCCTATTTGAATACTCTTCAAAGCGGAGGTATTGTATTAGAATGGTAATACCTTAAGATGTTCGGAAAAGAAAACATTATTTCTGTTGTATACACATAATCAACATTGACATTAATGTCTCCCTCAATCACTGATGTCAAAAAATGTACAACTTCCCAAAAAAGTCAAGGAAGGACAAAAAACACTTGTATTGCAAATTACAAAGAAATATAATATTTTTATTATATTTAGATACTATCACAATGTGAATATATGTCTGTGTAAACACACATATGTTAAAAATATGCGACTGAGACAATACACTATAATCCAAATATAATGTGAAACAAACACACAGGGAAATGTATGCAGGATACATGGGCGAATGTATATAGCGGTGAAAGTAGATTGTATTGGATATACTTTAATTCGAAGGCGAGTCATTTATTTCTTTTGACGCCAGTTATTGAAGGATTTATATGTATCTTTAAAGATATCTATTTATAACTGCTTTTTAGAGTTCTCAGAAACAAAATTGTAGGAAACAATGCGACTAATTATAAATTGTAAGACATGTGAAATTGTACATACATGATGCCGACCTGTGAGAGATTGATTTTCATAACCGATAAAAAGCGCAACAATGAAGAACACGAATGGTCGTTCACTAACGCGAGCTTTCTTTATTCATTTAATTTATCAGCAGTCCGTTCATAATCGATAACGATTGTTAAGCAGCATCATGCAGATGTAGTTTCCTTTGACTTGAAACGGGCTTAAACTGACCGAAAAATTTCACCATACGATTCTTTTCTGATACAATAAACAAATGGACCCGTCCGATTTGAAAAAGGGGGGCTATGATTTTACAGAAACGAAGAAATAGTTTAAACACACAAAATGGCATTTATATAGTTTTAATGTGTGATGAGTAATAACATTTTTGACTTTTTTTCGGAGCTTTACTTCTTTTGTTCAATGATCACAATTATACTGTTTTATGTTGTGTGCTGCCAGATACTGTGTTTACCTCTAAACTAAAAGTAAAACTTCCTGATATCAAAATGGCGCTGTCAATAGAACAAAATGGTGCGTTTCATATACATTCTGAATGCTTTGAAATTCTTGGTGACTTTTAATATCGTTACTTCTCAGTTAGTTTCATCAAACAAAGAATTGTTGAACGTAGCGCTTCAAAATCGCTGAGCGTTTTGCTAAAGGAACTTAAGAAGAAGTCAGTAAGATGTTGCGGTGTACGTAGTACTAACGGAAACGTCTGATGTTAAAGGACTAACCCTAGGTGCACAACTTCACATGCTGATTTTCGTTTCTTTAAATGTTTTCTTTCATGACTCTAAGTTAAATACTATTTTGGCTACGAACGGCAAAAGTTGATGAATGCAAATTTTAACTAGATTAAGGACAATAAATCCACACACAAAACCTTATGTGCACACCTACATATGCTGACCAACCATTCTCCAAATACTTGATTGGCTACGCGCTACATTAGTTGAGAATAGCCTTTTTGTACATTTTCAAGGGCAATTACTTGGACAAAAATAGATTAATCCACACGCATCCGGGTGCACAATTTTAAATGCTGATCAACATTTCTGTTAAGTTTCTTGACTCAAGACGAAATATTTTTAGAGGTTGTGAAACAACATGAGAACGGACAAACGTATGGACGGACGGACAAGGGCTAACCTTAATCCTCCTCACAGACCTCAAAATGATAAAAGATAAATTCATTTACCTTTCTTTGATTGGCTTGGCAACACCTGTGGAAATAACGAGAGATAGAATTGTGATATTTAGGATGATTGTTGATAAAACCTTTTAGTGCTTTTTCTTTCAAAATGTAAAGCAATCAGTATTTTGAAATTAAAAAAAATGTATTATTGATATTGGTTTCGATAGGACTGTCCTATAAACAGGGTGGCAAATCCACGTGATTATTATATGATCAACATACAACAAAATGTGAATCATATATGTACAAATGCAAGACTGTCCCCAAGTTCTAAACTTAGGGACCATTTATTTAAAATTCATTTTTACACCAAATACATTGACCTTGTTCTATGTGATCCCAAGTTCAACTTAAACCTAGAGGATCAATGCCAAATGTTGGAGACATCATGAATTAATGAATTTACTACGAGCAATGTAAGATAAATACAAATTGTCGTGTTAGTTTAGCCAAACCAGAACCTATATTTTATAAAAGCGGGAATAACTTTGAAAAATGGATATCAAAGTTACATAATATGACAATAAAATAGACTTTGTTATGATATCTTAACGTGTAATTTATAAAGGCATAAATAGAAATAGAACTTATGATAAATGAAAATTAACAAAACAAAAATCAAAAGAGTTACTGGAAGCTATTGCTACACGACAATGTACTGGATTGATTATGTTATAAAGGTTAATATGAATTGTTGAAAGAACACCAACCTTAAAATGTGATTTTGAACTTGAAGGACTGAACGCATTTTTGAGCTTCCGACGAACTTTTTGAAAAATGGATTCTTTTGAAACAACTTGTCCGCTCATATCAGACCTAGCAGCACAAGCACCCACAAGAACATTTTCTTTTGTTTCTGTACCAGCCTTGGTGATTACAGATAAAACGTCTTTTTTTAAACTACAGATTTCAGATATAGCTTCACTTTTCTGTCCATCAATATCGTTTTTTGCCTCAGATATGTCTTGTAAAGCCTGTCCCCCGACTGCTTTTATCTCAGAAATACCATCAGTAGTCTTCCCAGCAATGTCCTGTATTGCCTCTTTACCGGCTGTGTTTAATTTAGATATACCATCAGTAGTCTTCCCAGCAATGTCCTGTATTGCCTCTTTACCGACTGTGTTTATTTCAGATATACCATCAGTAGTCTTCCCAGCAATGTCATGTATACCCTGTTTCCTGGCTGTGGCAATGTCAGACATGGCAACCCCTTTCTCTACAGTCAGTGATTGCTTTACTGATATACCTGCGTTCTCAACATCAGCCAAAGCGGAATCCTTAAATTCATCAATATCTAGCTTTAATTTATACCGTAAAGCTAATGCTTTCTCATCGAGTTTACGCAAACATTCTGCTGTTCTGTCGTCAAGTTCGGTCAACGCCTTATTTCGCATCTGAAGAAGTGATACTTTGTCTCCTTGGTTTATGTGTATTGTGTTGTTTCTTAACTGTAATGTAAAAAGCATATATAAATGTAATATAGTTATCAACTTATTGCTTACCAACATAGTGTTTGATGAATTTAGTTTCACTGTTGATTGATCTATCACAGTGTATACACCGTGGTCCTATAAAACTGTCGCTTGAGAGAGCGAGGTAAATACGTAAAATACTAATTTCGAAAATGTCCCTTTCTTCCTTTACTATAGGAGTCACATGCAAAAGATTATTTATGTCGTTTGTCCTGCTGTAAAAACTGTATTTTCCGGTAAAACTTCCTTAAATGTCTTTTTGTACTTTGAACAACGATTTTCAGCTAAACATATAACCGACAAGCGTATTCTTCTGACACTTTGAAAAATAATCATCTGAGCTCCAAACAATAAACTAATATATATATATGGTGCACTAACAGTAGCTCATTTGCTTCCATAAATAATAACATTTTGTCATCCCTTTTGTATTTTTGTATCCTTTACGTTAAACTTTTTTGACTTATTCAATTATCTACAAGCACATGTTTTCGGCATTTTGATATGTTTGGACATGGTCTGGAAACAAAAAAGCATTACACAAATAAATGATGTAATGTTTTGCAATTATAAACCTTTTCAAATTTTGATGTTTGTATGTATAATTTTTTTAAGTTTTTTTCCATACAATTTTCCCAAACAATGTATACACACCTAGCTATACACACTCCCTATACACAATCAGCCAATAGAAACATTTTATAAAATAACGGTATTTGTTTTGTTGTAATTAACATACAACTGACTTTGTCAAATAATTGGCACCTTTAATCAAACAAGACCTTTCCTTAGACAGAGCACTCCAATTTGTTAGAGCTGAATAGTAAAAAAGAAGCACCATAGAAGGGGGGTGGGGGGCAATATTCTGAAAATGTGATCTCAGACTTACCTGTCCCAGATAGTTAACAAATACTTCCAGCTTAATGTGAATAAAACAGAAAAACAGAATCCCTAAAGAAAGCCCGACACGGCAAAATGGAAAATGCTGCAGGCTCAGTTTGAATGAGCCTGTTCATGGACGGAACTGGAATGTGCAAGTTACCATCCACTCCCCGTAGCACCGGCTGAAGCAGAATTTAATATTTAAACAGAAAAATGGTTAAATTTTGAATAAAGAAACATTGCAAGTTCAACGGTGTTTTAGAAAAAAAAAATTTTAAGTCGAACGAGCAAAAAAGGGACTTTCAGGATTATCTCCCCCCCCCCCCACCAAAAAAAAAAAAAAAAACTCATTTCAAATCTAATTGCAAAGAAGCACAGTAGGATAGTAGGATGAATGTTTCCTCTTACACGCAGAACGCACGCTGTGAAAAAAACGCATGCATGTTACACGCTAAAAGAACGAACGCTACACGCATGCTTTAGCAAACGAAATATGCAGACACACGCAAAACGATTTACTCTAAACGATAAACGCTCTCTTAAAAATTGTTTGGTAATTTTGTAAACTGTCGATTTTTACCGACTCTATGTCATTCAATCATTTTCAAGCATATTTTCAGCAAATTAAAGTACCTTTTAAGCTTTTATCAAGAAAAGTATCAAATTCAAGGACTGTTAAGCAAATTTGTCATTTATAAGCACTTTCTAAGAAATGGCCTCAAATTAAAACACTTTTATACTAACAACCTTATATATGTTATCAAAATAAATAAGTATGTCATAGTTTTAACATACATTTCTATTGTAACATGAATCAGTTTTTATAAGCTTACATTGAATATTATCATATTCGCTAAGTATTAAATCATTTGCAAACAAATCTTTATTTGTATCTAAGAACACGCACACGCGCACGCACGCACACATACAAACACGTTCGCGCACATACACATACACAAACTGAATTACTTCACTGTGAGAATTTTGACCAACGACAGAAAAATTAATAAAGTTTTTCATAACTTTTGAGAAATTTTAATATGGCTCTAAAGGAAGTTTCTTTATCAACAAAGGGAAAAAAGAATCTCTTTATCAAAGAACAGTTATTCGGAATGTCAATTTGTCGGTCAAATTTAACACAGTACACATCATTTAAATTGTTCTTCATATTCAATTTTGAATCAACTTCTTTATTCCATCATATATCGTTTTGATATACAAAGTGATTAATATATACTTAGTTTCTAACTCTAGCTATTAATATGAAAAAAAAAATATCTTTTTTTTTATTACCAGTGACCATACCTTGACCCCAGGGAGTCAAATAACAATCATAGACCAGTTTTTTCCAAATAAGCTATGTACTTTGTTAACTTGTTTTTTGTTCTACTTTAGCAACAATGACCTTGCTTATGATTTTTCTTTTTTGTAGTTGCTTCCAAATGTCTTGCCCCTTGATCAATACCATTGTAGTACCATTTTGAGACAACTTTGCATGCAAGACAAGGTATCGTGTATAAGCTTAGTGTAATTTATATCATATTTCCATTACTCTTTGTAAATCAGTCGTTATTTCAGAGTAGTATACCGAAGTAGCTCAAATACATCCGGATGTCACCCATTAAGTGGTTCAACGAGCACTTGAAAACAAAGCAGATACTCATTTATCACATAAATAAATTTGATTTGTGCTTTAAAATTGTATAATAATATTATATACCTGTGTTAGTTTATCAATAGCTTTCTTTGACTCCTCATCATTAACCAGACACTTTGGATCTTGAAGAACTACAATGAACACGTCCAAATAAGAATATAGTGTTGTTTCGTCGATTTCAAGCTTGGGGCTATGCAAGAGCTTATTTCGGATGTCTCTCGCCTGAAAGAAATTGTATTATACGTACATGTATGTAAAAGGGGAATCATAACACATAATTCGCATTATTATTTCGTTCTTTGTTTTCTTTGTAAATATGTGGTAAAGGGATATTTTGTTGGTTTTAATAGATACTTAAATGAGTTTTATACGTCTAATCTTATACTGAAAAAACTCTGCAATTCGTATCCATATTTGAATCTTTACCTTTTTGGATATCAAGCAAAATGATTTTATTTATTTAAGGTTATAAACTGAGTATATGATACTTTTAAACAATTAGTCTATTCAGTAATTATAGAAATTGTTGGATGATATCATATATTTTATACATGTATATTTATTATTGATCGTTTCCTGTACTTACCAAATGAAACGAACTGGTAGGATTAATACTGGTCACAAAGTTTTGTATTGACCTGTTGTTTATAATTATGCTGAGCAGACCAGCTGCATCTGTATCTTTGGCTGATGTTCCTGGACCATTAATTGTTTGGAAACACTTTGCATAACTCCACCCATGAGGATCCGAACACCACGTACTTGGATCAGTGTTCTTCCATAATGGGTCTTTAAATACATGCTCATCTATAATTGCATCGTAAAATTTACTACATATGCCATCAGGGCATTTCCTACGTCCGACTGGTCTGCTTCCAAAACAGTTGGTGGGCCTGTTTTGGTAACATGTGCCCCTGCTACATGCCTTCGAAGAGTTGAAATGATCTGGAGAAAGATTATTTTCCGTACATTGGTTACACTGTTGTGGTGATCCAGATGGTAATTTCAATGTTATGTTTTGAAGAGTATTATCACGACATTGTAGTACCTTTTCTCCAACAAATTCTTGAAGACCTTCCTGTAAGTATTCTAGACCTTTTGAGCCTCGCACCCAATTTGCAAACAGATCTGAATCCAGTTCCTCACTTTCCATTATAGCATTTTTGAAATAGGTCAGTCTGAATGAAAATATATTTATAAATGTGATAATACAATTAAAAATTTACAAGCCACACTCCCACACAAAACGGGTATAAAAACATCACCATATTTGTTTACAGTTGTTAAATTTACATGAAAGTAAAATTTGTAGTTTTCATGAGATATATGTGACCTAAAAGTTGTTATATTTAACTTGACACAAAAATAAACACACCTATTATCACACCCGTTAACATGTTTCGAGCAGGACAGCGTGATGCAGGTAGAACATTCAATATAAATGTCAGTTATAAACCGGATTACCAAATTATGATTCTATTTTAGTGTATTTTTATAGACAAAATTTTCTATGACATATTGTGCAGCAACTGATGTCAGAATAAAATCAACATACCAAGCGCACAACTGTTCTTCCTGCAACCAACTGATCTACTTGCAACCAGTGAACGTTTATGTTTATAATTAAGGTCAACATTTACAAAATCAAACGTTGGAACGGTTTAAAATTACAGCATGATAAACATTTCAAAAACGTTACTATGATACTAGTCGGACAAGACATGTATAAATCGTCTAGTTAATTATAAATGTACGAGCATGTGTTGAGATTTTATCTTGTCCCAAAAATGCTCAAACCACAATGTATGTGATAGTTGCTTAAATGTTATAAGATCGATATTTTTATCTACACGTTAAATATTACTAAGGTGACATAACTGCTGTACGTACTATGCACATAACTATTGAGGTTACTTCCCTTTAAGTAATATGCATTAAATAAAATGAGTGTGCATGTATAGTTCAAAGCTAAACTCTATAACTAGGCGTATCACTTTTAAATTTCCAAGTAATTAGATGTTTTGATATTTTTGGCTTGACAAGTGCTTCTAATTTCAACAACGAAGACAAGAAAACTCTCCTTAGTTTTTTTATTTACAATTCGAATACAGTTATATTATGATATCACATTATAAATTCTACCTTTATAGCACGTTAGTGTAACCCTGCATGTTAATTTTTATTTATATATTAATATTTGAGGCTTCGTGCTATTAAGCAGTAATGTTTAGCTGATTGCTGTTCTAACGTTCTAAAATTCATTTAGATGCATAAAAATAGATATGTGAGAGTGGTTGTTTTAGGTTCAAAAGCAACATTATGATACATTGAATATGGAGTAAAAATTACGTAGTTGATAGTTATTCAATTTTAGCAGATATTCTTTATTTATCAGTTCTAACATTAATTTTCTTCGTTTTATTTTTATTTTGTTAACATACAATGATTTTGAGATTAACCATAAAAGTCTATTACATGTATTAGTGCTGCAAATTAGCATATTTTACTAGCCTATTTAGAGGGGTAAGTGGTCTATGTCAGCCAACACCAAAATTGCCGTCTGCATCTGTAGTTTCTGGAATGGATATTCATTTCACCCAACCCCGATGCGAAGCTTAAATATCCAAGTTGGCGTCAAAGATGGCCGCCAAATCCCTAAATATTCTAGTATATTTACGTTGGCTAATTTATTTTCTCAGTTTTGTAAATCAATTGAAATGTAACATGAAATTATTTATTTTTTAACTAACTCATGTTATAAATTCTGACTTTATTGCATTTTTTCTAGTTTTAATCGCCTAATTTGAACGAAAGAAGAGAAAAATATGTTGCAATCTTGATGACCTTTTCTTATTACGTGTAAATTATTAGTTCATTTTTGTTTAAACTGAATAACATTCATAATTTCATTTAATACAGCTTCAAAAATGTATCTACACATCTTTAGAATAAGTTAACTCTGCCATAAATGTATTTTATTGATCTAAACCTATATTCAAAGTAGGTGGGGGTATTACGAACTGAGGTCAACTGTAATTAAATACTTCTTTGTTTTATGTTATAATGGAAAGTGATATTAAAAAAAAAAACAAAAAAAGTTTAATTGGTTGGCGATGAGACAACTTGCTTTTCATAGATAATGCCCTGCATGCGTGTCTAAATAATGAAATATCTCTTTTAAATGTTTTATGCACAGAATAAGGAACTAATTTACTGACCTGTAATTTGGTAATCACGTTTATCTTGTGCTATCCCTTGGTTAAGGATTTGTTTGCAAGTTTGTTTCTCGTAAGCCATAAATATTCTTTTTTAGACTTCAAATGTGATTTCTGATTCACTGTTCAAGACCCACAACCTAAGCATTGATTTGGAAATAATCATATCCCTTTTAAGAATTTCTCGGGACAAGATTTATCTCCACAACCATTGAGGTAATGCACTAAACACGTCTTTTGAGATCATTATTGTAGGTATCTTCTCTCTAACATGTTTTTATTTTCAAAAGAATTATACTACTTCATAAATAAGAGAATTTCTTTATTGTGCAGGCTGTTGATTTTGAATATTCGAGCGTGCTGTCCGACATGCAGCTCTTGTTTTAAGGCATTGCCTTAACGTATGATAATTTACAATTGAACCATATTTAGAGTTTTTTCATTATTGATGACGGATATAATATATACATAAAAATGTAAAATGTAATTTTTGAACATTTGAAATGGGTAGGTAATACATTTTACAGTAAGAAACTTGCCTGCTAGACTAGATCTGAATTATCAATATTATAATAGTATATTATATAGTAAGTGAATTGAAAATAAAAATTACATGTATGAGGGCATTTTCATTTTAGCTCGACTGTTCGACGATTAAGGAGAACTATCCTAGTCCCTAGCGTCGGGGTACCCACTTACGTTAAAGATTGCTTATCACCTCAAATATTTTCAAATTTCATTGACATATGACTTTGAAACTTGCACACTTGTTTATCACCATCCCCCCAACCTGATTACTAGAGGAGAATTTTGCCCTTTTCAACTTTGAATATACATTAAAGTTTGCGTACCACCTCAAATATTTTCAAATTCTATTCACATCTGGATTTGAAACTGTGCACACTTGTTCATCATCATTCCCCCATTTTGTACACAGGAGGAGGTGACCCTATCAAGCATTTTGACAGAATTATGCCCCTTATTCGACTTTACGTTGAAGTTTGCGTACCACTTAAATTCCATCGACATATCGCTTTGAGACCTTGCACACTTTTTCACCATCTCTCAACATGTGTACAGGAGGAGGTCACTGTATTAAGCATTTTTACAATATCATGTCCCATTTTTTAACTATCAAGCACTGAGAATTCATGGGAGGAATTCTGAAAAGCTTTCAATAGGATGACAATAGCTAAACATTTCCCTGACGGATACTTGATAGTAATAATAGGTGCTGAGGGGGGGGGGGGTATACCGTAACTTGCACTTTCCAGTACAGGCTCAAACAAACATGTGTTTGCACTTAACCTAAATTCAGTGTTATATTAATAGGTCCATCGGGATGGTGGTGGTGGTGTTTGTAGTTTTCACTCCGGATAAATACAATAAGCCAAATTGAATTTATCAGAGCACATTTCAGCCACTGCACCGTTCCTTGGCCGGCTGTTAAGCAGTTTACCAGTACTATTTGCCTGCACTTTCGCAAGGAACAGAAACTTCTGTACATTCCAGAGCAGAGGTACAGTGTGAATGACCGTAGAAAAGATTTCATGATCAATCACAATGAAAGTGTTTTGCACCGTCCGGGAATTGAACTCAGGTCGCCCAATTCACATGCCAACGGTTTTTCTATTGAGCTAATCGGACGGCTTGGCCCTTCAGCATCATTGATTGCAGAACGTTTGAAGTTGAGGATTGAACACTATAAAGCCGGTACTAAGAGGTGTGAGAGATTTTGCAAATTGCATTGTCTCTCATGAACAGACCCATCAAACCGAGTCTTGATTATCAACTTTGCCTTGTTTTATTGCCCTCAAAGGAACTTCTCTTTTCCTGATTTTTACAATCATTATGCCAATGACATGTAAGTGGCACCTGATAGCTTAGTTACTTTTATATTGTTACGGGAGATATTTTATGTTCAGTCCCTCCCCTAACTCACAACTGGAAGTTATACATTGCATTAAAAACGTCCTGCTACCTTAATGATATTCTTAACATGAATAATCGTAATTTTGATCAAACTAGATCAAAAGGAATCTTAAATACATGTATATCCAAGTGAATTTAAAATAAATAAAACAAACTCTTCATCCTTTTTAGATTTAAACATTTCTATTATAAACAATAACATAGTACTTAAAATCTATGATAAAAGATTTTAAATATCGTTAACTGTTCACATGTACTTTATGCAACATCATATATGGGGTATATATTTCTAAGTTAATTAGATTTGCCAGGGTCTGATGTATTGTGTACGATTTTAATGAACGCAATTTATTTCTTCTTCAACAAGGCTTTCGCTATTATAAGTTACGTAAATATTTTACAAAGTTCTATCATCGTAATTCAGATATATTTCAAAATTTAATGGTACTTTAAAAACTCTTTTACGACTACGTATTAGCAAGCCTGTTTTCTGTGGAGATGACAGCTTATTTGTGATATGCAGGCTTCGTTACCTGTGATCCCCTTTCAAAATATCATTTTATTTAGTTTCGCCCATTGTTTTCTCGTTAAGGGCACGCGCATTCTTTTACTTGGGGACCAAACGTCGCTTTTCATGGAATGAAACTAACGTGTCACATTGAAGGTTCCATCTGCGAATGTTTTTAAATTCAAAATTTCACCATAACCATGATTAAATGTTGCATTCTGCTTAAAATATGATAAACAAGATCAACAAGGAAATGCAGCGCACAATGAACCCAACCCCCACATGACCCTGCAACAAGAACCAGTGGCAAGGAGCCCATGCGGACCCCAAACAAAAACAGGACGGGGCACACGACAAAGCACGGACAGGCTAATCACTAAAATGATAAATAATTTGTAACTGACAAGGAAAACAAGCCGGTGCTATGGGGTGTGGACGGTTGTTTGCACATGACAGTACCGTCCTTGATCAGACTCAATCAATCCGAGACTGCAATATTTTCAATTTTGACGTTTTGTGCATT